TCACGCAGCGACTTGACTGAGTGCCAACGTGGAAAGTGTATCTCGGGCACATGTAATGTTCACTTTAGCCCTGACAACGGCTAAAGTTACATGAGACTCGCTGTTAAGACCTGCGTGGTGTTCAATCATACAATTCCAAACTGTATCCCCTTAAGCACGAATCTATGTCAACACATCCTTGACACTTTCTTTTATAGTGACAAGAGCTTCACCAGTGTGTGAAGTATATACGTGTATACTCCTCGGGTTCAGCCGTGCGTTAACTTCAACAGTAAAACTTCGAGATTACATCTGCTTTTGCATGACGAAACCCAATAATGGTTCTTTTGTACACTACTGGCTATGTAAGATAGGGTTTCAGTTACTGGTTGTCTTCGAGATGTAGGGGCAGTCGGGTAGCCTAGTGGTTAAAGCGTTCGCTCGTCACCCCCAATACCCGGGTTCGATTCCCGACATGGGTACAATGTGTGAAGCGCATTTCTGGTGTCCCCCGCTGTGATATTGCTGGAATATTGAAGCCGCTTTGAATGGTGTTATGTCGCATCAGAAGAATGTTGTAGGAAAGCACTAAGTGATCCAGGTTGTATACAGATGAGGTTAGGTGCAAATGGGGTTCAACGTCGGTTTCAAACAACGAGCATGTACGTGTGTATGTGTGTGTGTGTGCGTGTGTGTGTAGCTGATTGTCCCACTTTCATAATGCTAATTCATTGAGAACCCATGCCACGGGGTAACGTGGATACCCCACTCAGACACGAGTACTGACTACGATCCGACCAGTCATTACTTTCTCACCTTAAAAAAAATAATTTTTCAAGGTCATTTAGTATCACACAGCCGTGGCATATCGAACCACTGACCTTCCGGCCCATCAGGCAGACGCTTTGTGCACTAATTAATTTAAGGAGGCGACCAGTTACAAGCGATAGACATTCACCACTCTGGTGAAACTCACGAGCACACGTTTTTGTTTGTTTGTCTGTTGTTTAACGCCGTAATCATCAATATTCCAGCTATGTGACGGCGGTCTGTTAATAATCGAGTCTGGGCCAGACAGTCCAGCGATTGCCATCATGAGCATATATACACGCAAATGGAATACGATGACATGCATCAACCAGAGACCATATAATAGGTCATATGGTCTCTGCATCAACCAAGTCAGCGAGACTGACCACCTGATCCAGTTAGTCGCCTCTTACAACAAGCACAGTCGCCTTTTTCAGCAAGAATGGGTTGCTGAAGACCTATTCTAGCCCGAATCTTCACGGGTCACGAAATCACTTATAATGCAGACCGTGACCTCGAATTTATCGAGAGAAAAAAACATACTTCAGTGATCTCAGAACGATGTACAAATACAAATGATTCTGACTCTGAGCTAATACTGCACAATGAAAATAACAGGCCCACATGTGCGGGCAAAGTATTGCAGTGAACAGAGACAACGGTTATACAATCAGTAACCCATTCAAAGTGGAAGTTGCAGATCTCGATGTTTTCCTTGCAAAATATTTCCGCGTTATTCGTATGTAAACTGCAGCTAGATAGTCCTAAATAACAACAACAATAATAACAACAACGATAATTACGCAGCGTTCACTGAACGGACTTCGTTTATATGTCAGCTGGCTGTTTTATTTCCGTGTTTCTCTGCTGTATATTATTCAACATTATCCATATAGATAGATATAATAGGTATATCTTAGATACATGCACAGAATATATATAGGCTTATCAATTCTTGGGCCCCGTGAAGATCTGGCTTGTAACCGGTCAATGCTTGTCGTAAGAGGCGACTAACGGGATCGGGTGGTTCGGCTCGCTGACTTGGTTGATGCATGTCATCGTATCCCAATTGCGTGGATCGATGCTCCTGATGTCAATCACTGGATTGTCTGGTCCAGGCTCGATTATTTACAGGCCGCTGTCATATAGCTGGAATATTGCTGAGTGCGGCGTTAAACAAAAACGTTGATGGATTTTTTTCGATTCCACGCCCCCCTGTTTTTTTTATTTAACTCAATTTGAGATAAAATAGACTCTTTGTAGTGTATCCGAAAACATTTTCCATTGTGTTAATGGACTGATAACAGTATCATCTATAACGTATTTATATATTCTCCCGACTACACGATTTGAAATTCTTTTTAGCCAGCAACCCGGTTGGAATGGAAATTAAAGATTTTAATATGTTGCAAATCACTTTTTTAAATGTATTATGAGACGATTCGACTTTTTGTTTGAATCATCCGTTCGTATAAAAATCGCTCCGGTGACATCCATACAGCATATCTCATTTCGCAAGGAAATAACAACGGCTACATTTGATTTTTAGCACATAACCCTCAGTATTATTGATACGGAAACACGTCACAGAAGATCAGATTAACCCTTTCACATTTTCCACGAGTTACCTCCCTTTGTATAACACTTCGCATATGGAACGCGAGGAATGCAGTGTGCTAGGTTATACAGTCCTGCGCCTCCTGTTTGTGTAATGTTAACGTGATTCACAGTCACGTGATCTCCACGCCACTTTCCTACTCCCATGTGCTGTCGGTCCCACAGGCTTGATAACTCGCCGTGTACAGAATAAATGTGTACTTTGTACGCTGAACTAATTGTCGAGAACAGTAGCGTACGTATATTCATATATACCTTCGCGAATTAATATGAGAAACTGGGTATGTATTAAGAAGATTTAGGTTAAATGGCATTATACGTAGAAATTTCACATGTATTATTTGATGTCTTTGTGAAAGATGATTAACCAATAACCCTTTGTATGGTATATGGCTATATTTGGTTTAATTAATGGATCGTTCCAATTGTTATACCTGCTTTGAATGTCACATGTAATATTTGATGTGTGTGAAAACTCAGTAATTGCCGCTTTGTGTGGCATATGGTTCAGAGAGAGAGAGAGAGAGCTCATTTATACAAGTTTAAGTTTTATCTTCAGAGAGAGAGAGAGAGAGAGAGAGAGAGGAGAGAGAGAGAGAGAGGAGAGAGAGAGAGCTCATTTATACATTTATATACATGTTTCAGGCTTATCTCTTCAAGGAAAAGTCAAGATAAAGCTGTAATATGTATAGGAGCACAATTCGTGTTGTGTGATTATTTGGTGATTTTCTTTATATATCTACATGAAAGATAATTCAAGTTTTCTCCCCTCAGCGTTTACAGTCTATTAGGAGGAAAAGAGATGTTCAGGATTTTTCCACAAACTGTTTCTAATTTTAGAACATGATGCAACTATCTACCAGGAACGGATTTTGCGCGGGTGTGTAACGCGGGCGCGCATTTCGGAACACAATTCAGCTGCAGACAATTAATGCACATGTTAAACGAAATCGACTGAATATTTGTGATGACGATGTGAATTAATACTGCGACCCTTTTGTACAGAGGACGCATGGAGGCTTTGTAGTTTTGGGGCCGTTCATTCATCAACGATCGCAATAATATCTTTAATGCGAACGAGTGTGTATGAATGGAAAATGAGTAAATTGTGTTTGAAGCTGCCTTGAACGATATTCCGCTAATACTCCTCACAGCGTCGAGTGTGACATGAGCTCCACGCAGCGGGCCTTACTCGATAGACACGCTCGACTTAAAAAAGCTAATTATAGTTTCCGGTGTAAGCCATTTTACCTCACAAGCAAACAATACCTCTCTGATGCTTTTTTTAGTACATGTGCAGAAACCTCAAAATATGGTTGAATGATTAGATTAGAAAGGAAAAGTATTGATTTGGACAAGGTAGTTTATAAATATAACAACGAAAGAATAAGCGTGTGACAGTCTGAAACCGACATTTAATGTTATAGTGGTTATAGTCAGATTCTGTTCAAGGGCGGATTCGGCATTTTTACAAGGGAGGGGTCCAAAATATTCAAAGAACTCTCCAGATAATTTTACTTCCTATAACATAATACATTTGGTTTTCTCTGGATTAGCCAATGCCGTTTGTTGTGCGCATTGGAAATTGAAAAAAAGTATAGTGTTCGCCAGTACAAGACGCTTACGACTCCCAAATGTATACACGAATAATATTGCATGTTGTGTTATCAGATTAGTCACGAGGATTGTGTTTCGCAATAAAGACAAGACGACGTATGTTGCAAACTGGAGAGTTTGAGATAGGCCTATAGCTTTGTGTATGAATATATAAATATTTAAATAACCCGTTAGAACGAAATGATACCCAACTGAAACATTAAAAAAACCCCTGAAACAACAACAAACCATCGAAACGTCATTTTTTTCAGCTAGTTACCAAGGTACCATGATGATATTTTTATCTATTTTGATAAGTACATTCAATGTAGAATACTTATTAATCGTTTATTTGACCTTGGATCCCGTACCTTCTTTGACCGTTGACCACAGAGCTCTTATGTTCAATAAAACAGTCACCCCCCTTTCTCTGTTGTGAAGCAAATATATATACTCGTCCTCTCTTCGTGATTTCCTGAAATAAGGCACTTGAGGGCTCATTAATACTCCAGGGTTTCCTTGTAGTAGTATCTTTTATGGACCTTATGTATATTTTTTAGGGACCTATGCGTCTTCAGAAGCTTATTTATAGAGTGCAAATTTCTGTTGACTTTTCGTCTATTAGTCTAAACCTAGTCACATTTGACGGGTCTGCTGAAGCCATATGGACGCTAAATATAAATGTCCATGCTTATGTGACATGATAAAAAATATCTCAAACTATAGAATCAATACCGTCATACTTCACGATAAATCTATACGAGCTTATAAATACTGTATGTGTCAGCGAGAATGGTGGGAAATTATTTTGGTTATTGATAGCCATTGTTAAATTATCCTTATGTGTTGGGTACCATGATATTGTGTTCCTGTTCAATGAGTTGATTTAGTTGTCGAGAATAAGTATATTTGTGTCAACGAGGAGAATATGCGCTGGGTGATCTGTTTCGTTTCGTTTTAGCATTCCGACTCGCCATTGGACGACACAACAGTCTCGTGACTAGCTGGCTACATTCCACCTGCAGTTGGCGAACGAACAAGGCTGCGGACAAAGTCTCTCGTCGAAAATGCGTCTTTTGTTTGAAATCTGGATGTTTGTGGGCCCATTTTGATTCCTGTGGATATATTAATATTATTTTACGTAAGTATGTGTGACGATATTGGGTGCATATGCCTTCATTTGTGGAATACATGTGAATATTGCCTGTGTTATCGAGCGCGCTATACTGCGGTGGGAAATGGCGGCAAAGTGAAACTAGGTCACATGCTTTTGTTTGGGTTCAGTCAAAGACACGAGGTGAATATCAACACTCGCTGTCACCCAAGGATGTTGATTTCAGATTGGATACCTACCCTGTGGATGTCGACGCTTCAGAATGGATTTTATTTCATCCAAATATTGAATATGATTACAGAAAATGTGTTGTCATATGCAACTGTTTGGTCGTTTGTTGTGTTTGGGTCATACGAGTGGAAGGTATTTTTATCACGGAAATCGGACATATCAAAACAAAACATTCAGCTCTGACCCCCATTGTTTTCATTGTGAAATACATGCCCATAGTGAAGGCACTCGTCACAGTAATTAGTCGTAGAGCGAATAAACAATAGACTGATTATATTGAATAAACAGTGAATTAACAATGACGATCTTTGTGACTATGGTATGAACAAGCGAGCACAGATGGATTCACTCAGGCGTGGACGTTGGGTGGGAGGGGCAGATTTCATCAAGGTCAAAGACAGATGGGGCATTATGTAGCGAACACGATTCGGTGTGAGTGTTAGCACCAGGGCAATTGATGTAGGATAGATGGCAGTAATTGTGTAGTAGAATGTTGTGTTCAGTTTTGCAAGAAGTCATGCATGAATGAATGTAGGCAGCTTCTGAGATCAATAACTGGCAGTGGAATAAGAAGGATGATCTAGGAAACACTCAAATACTGAATACCAGACTGGGTTTATTTAGACAGTAATCCATATGGTTACTTGGGAAATTGATTGACAGTGGCTGAAATAAAGATAGGTGTGACAGTTAACATTTCTCTGCTTCATGTAGCTGCATTAATACCAGAAAGATTTTGACATTAGATAAATGTTTTTTTCTTCTAAACAAAGTTAACTCAGGATTAGACTTTCCAACAATGAAAAGTTGTGTTGAGGTGCCTGTGGTGATTCTTATTTACCTTTTTATAAAGTAGATGACAGAATTCTAAGTGCATGTATCGACCATTGCACCCATATATTTCTTGAAAAACTGGATTTATTTTTGCACACTTTATCATCTGCAAGTGTAACATCAAACTGCCCTAAAGATAAATGACAAATATTAGGGAGAATTTTTCTTTTCAAACAAAACCCTGTTCAGTGTGTGTTTTATCAATTAATCAAATGTTGGAATAGAAGGATTGTGTTGGAAGTGTTTTAAAGGAATTTACAATGCTCAAAAGCTCTCCATTTGGTGATATAATTGATAAGAACTGGTTTAACACTTCTATTACTTCCTGTTTTTTGGGGGGGCGGTCAGGTAGCCCAATGGTTAAAGCGTTCGCTCGTCACGCCGAAGACCCGGGTTCGATTCCCAACATGGTTACAATGTGTGAAGCCCATTTGTGGTGTCCCCTGCCGTGATATTCCTGGAATATTGCTAAAATTGGCGTTACAAAACCTCACTCACTCCACTCACCTGTTTATATTGTACAGGGTCCCAATTGATTAGTGTTGAGTCACCCAAAGGTGAAGGTCACAGTCCCACAGATACATCACTTGTGGTAATAGATAAGTATTGAAAGAGTAAAGTTGTCTGTGACTTGCCTATTAGCCCGCAGTCCATGACAGATATTGCTAATTAAGCAAAGCCACGTTTATTTGACTAAAGTCAAATGAGCATCAAGATACAAGTTTAGGGCTTGTTCTTTTTTATCAGGGGCGGTCGGGTAGCCTAGTGGTTAAAGCGTCCGCTCGTCATGCAGAAGACCCGGGTTCGATTCCCGACATGGGTACAATGTGTGAAGCCCATTTCTGGTGTCCCCCGCCGTGATATTGCTGGAATATTGCTAAAAGCGGCGTAAAACCATACTCACTCACTCACTCACTCTTTTTTATCACAGATTAAAGGTTTCTTTTTAAAAGAGTATAAAGAATATTTATTTTTGTATGTTTGAAATATTTGTTTATGTTCGTTAATCATTGTTCAGCTTTCTTGAAATGGAAGGAAATGGATAGTTGTGCTGGTTGCTCACAAGGACACATTTCTCCATACGCACAATGATTAACCATCACGCTAGGGGAAAGTGACTCATTTTATTCAGATCTTGTCGACATACTGTATAACTAAGGCAAATGAAATAAATATTAACACTGCCTTTGGTATACCACGTTAGACATTGGCACTAGTCCTGTCGTCCTTGCCATAATGCCCAATAGTAAGGTATCATGAGGACTAGTAGAAATTTGTCCTTTTTAAGGGGTTTGCTATATGTTATCATTATAAGGACTAGTGGGCTAAAACTGTTAGTTTCTGCTGCTGGTATATATGGATTGCTAAGCAGAGGACTGGCAGTGTCAAGCCACACTGACATGAAGTGACACCAGACACCGTGTATTCCATTGAGATATATCTGAAGTCATTGTGAATAGCTGTAACATAGCTGAGGCATAATGAGGCAGTTGTAACTGCTGCAGTTATATGGTTGTCAGGTTATGACTTGACAGGATTACTTTTGAAGTGGTGTAGTTTTCTGCTTGTGACAGTGTGTAGTTTCTTGTATGGCTGAACAGTAGGAAGGAACTAGCTGTAGCTTTAGGGACCCGCTTCCTGTTGGGAAATGAGTTCAGCACAATTTGAATCCTTCATCAGATAGGTTCACACCTACAGACACATTAGTGGTGTAATGCCAACAGTGATATAATTATGCAGTAGCAGGGGGTTGTTGAGATCTGCACAGTGCACACCCAAGTCAGTATGCCAGTAAACATTCCCAAGTTGGAATTAAACAATTCTCAATTCATCCTGTTCATGTTGTGCAACTAACGCCATGGCTTTGTGGAGTGGACTTCTATTTCACTGATAACAGGACCAATAAAGAGGCTTTTATACTTTTATTTATGTTTTTGAATTGAAATTCAGAATGCAGTGTTGAAGAAAATGCCTCTTGAGTTACGAAAAAAAATATGTAAATATCAATCCCAGTTTTTGAAGAAATAAGATTATTTTTGTTCAATTTGTCTGTCAATGGCAGCTTGTTTAGAATCCTAGCTAAATCCCCACGTATGTGTTAAGGCGAAAGCTGTCCATTCTATACATCAATTTGCAAGGGTTGTAAAACAATTCAAGTGATTATTTCTCTATTGTAATGAACATTTTAAAGGAATATTTGTAAAGTTTTCAAGTCTAACAGTACAGAAAGGAATAAGCTACTGTCTACACAATGTTTAAATGAAACATTTTTTTAATATTGGTATATTGTAAATACTTATGTTAGATTTCTACATGTGTGTTAAGTATTGTCTGATTGTACATCGTTTTGAAGAATTTGAACTCTCTTCAAAAAGGTTATATCATTTCAGTTTTTCCATTCAACCACCAGTCCAAAGTTGAACAGTTGACACATGCATCTGCAGCTCTTTTTGACTTGTTTTTTTATATTAAAAAATAGTTAGATTTTGGGTGAAATCGACTAGTCTTGCTTGAGTTTTACTGATCTTGGAATGACGGGCTAGTGGCCATGTCTATCCCTGCTGAATCTGTAAGAGAAGAAGAAAAGAAGAAGAAGAAAATTGTTTTATTTATGTAAGATTTGTGTCTTTCTGGCACGTTTATGACTGTAATAATTGCCCCATGTTCTGAGTAAACCTAATGGGAGTGATACTGAAAGACAAGTTCATGGCAGGGCTGCCTGTGTGTTGACCAACAACTTTGGTTCCTTTTCCTTGACCTTTGTAAGGAAAACAAGGTTCATAGGAGTCATGTTAATTGTCACTTCATAGTTGGGTCATAAGTTGGTTCATGCTTATGCTGCGAAATGAGAACTGCCTGATTGCATGGTTAGGAATTTAAACCAATACATTTGGAAAATTAATAAATTATCATAGTTTGAATTAGAAAAAGCAAGAATTTCTTTCATCTTAGGGTTGCCTCACACATTTAGTGACAGAAGTGCCTATGGTTGTATTGGAGTTGATTTGAATCAGAAACAACCTCATTTGACCTATGGATCAATGTTTTGCTGTTACGTTTCACAGGGGTCGGGTACCTTGGTCATATTTACATGTACATCATTTTTCCTGCTTCTCTCCCTAAAATCCACAGTCTCTGTGTAAGAACCCCATGTAAAAAATATCATTGTCAATGGAATAATAATTTCATTGTAAGTCTTGTTAGTGTTGAAATGTCATAGTTGATAGTTGTTCATGTCACACAGCATTAGTAGTGTATTCCAGGAAAAGGTCAGCAATATTCTTCACATGCCCTTTACATGATATTGGTGCTCTCCCTGATACTGCTTGATAAATGTTAGGCTTTCTAATTACTTCACAGATGTTATATAACAGGATCATCAGTTGCTAGGCTGGTTGTCAACATGATCTAAGTATGTTGCCATGGTAATGAAGTGAGGAATAACAGCTGCCAGTAAGGTAGTTGTGAGAGGAAAATTAGCAACTTTCCATTGATTCCTTGTGAGGCTTGCAGACGTGAGCATTTATCTTTTTCTTGACTGAAGGGGAGGTAACTCTTGTTAAGCCTAAGGGTAGGAATTCAATTGTGGGTTTGAATTGATCAGAATGACACGCTGTAAAAACAAGTTGTAAAATTGATTGAATGATTTTTTTACTTTTGAAATAAAAAGGTATTGCCAATATTTGCAGTAATGTTGATTTTGAAGAGAATACATTTTCAAGAGTCGATATCGACATTTTAGTGTATGATTATGTGTACTGAAATTTTATTTGATATCTTTCCGAAATGAAAAGAGTAAATTTATATCAATAGTTTTTAAGCAGGAATTACAGGCTGAAAGGTTCGTGACTAGATATTTACAGTGTTTGCAATTACCATGTTACAGGGGGCTCTGGGAATCCTACCTTAAGGTTTGTTACTATAGTATGTGAATCTAGGGATTCCCTAAATCTATACCTTTT